GTCTGGCACCAACAACCATGCCACGCTCAAAATTGCTTAAATCACCTTTCTTTCCCATTCTGACATTCAGTTTGGAGTTCAGGAGATTGCCTTGACCAGGACCACACCCCTAAATGCATTGAAGCAACTGCCCTGTGATTGGTTGATTAGATAATTGCATTAATGAGAAATTGAACAGGTGTTCCTAATAATCCTTTAGGTGAGTATATATTGATTTACACAGTTATATGTTTTCATTCTAAGCCAGAGTAGGGCAAACTATGGCCTACAAGCTGGATCCGGCCCACCAATCAGCTTTAACCAGCCCATTAAGCAAAAAATGAATCAAACATTTATTTATTGTTTTTGTTTATTGTATTTGGTGATTATATAGTCATCTATGCCCCTAGATGGCGCACAGTGCATTGTGGATCGATGCTGAATTATCAGTCCTTTCAGTCTTAATGTTTCTGTTTTGAGAATAGATTGTAATGTCAAAGTAGTGATATTTTATCAGTTTGTCAGTCTTATTATACATAAAGAACAGTGGGAGAAGAAAGGTGCAGTTAGAGACTGAACCAATGGAAAGAAAATAGCTTTGTGTGGAGTTATTTTACAAGATAATATGTAAAATTGTTATGTCTGGCAAAGTACATTCTGAAAGCCCAGTACTTTGTACAACACTGTTCTGGTATTTTCAAATATATTTTGGGTTTACTGTGGTATTTTGAGATCTTGGCAATAAAATTAGCTGAATGAGGTAGGGATGCTCCATGCTCTAGAATTTTACTAACAAACTCAAAATACTATAGTATACCATATTACCTTAGTACCGTCCAAGCATATCATAGTGCATTTTGAAATTAGACAATTCTCATTAACTACTAATTTAATATTCTTAGCTAGCTGACATATTTAAAGGTGAAATATTGTTAAGCATCTGTAGCAGATCTGATTATTTAAGCTATTGCACAACTTTGTACTGCTAGCTACACTACCTACCTGAGTACACTGCAGCGATTACTTTATCATCTATTAGGGTATGAAGTTGCATGATTCGGCTTCTTGGCTGTTAGCATGAGGTGGTCTACCTCATAATGAATGTAAGCAAATCTATGGGCTGTACAATGCTGGGTTACAGGCCACTATATAAAACATAACGACGTACCAATTTTTATGAAACATTTTTTACTCTGTTTTAGGAAACAAAATTCTGCAGTTTTTTTTTTATGTAGTATATGTTAAAAAAAATCAGTCTAAAGTTTACCACTTCTGTTTTTTCCATGAGCTTTGCATGCGCTCTCCGAGCCCTTGACAGTCATTTTCGTCCTTGCTGTTGGAGATACTCATACACAGTCTGGTACGTTCGTGAGAAATTTAACAAACATGAGTGGAGGAGAAAAGCAAATAAGAACTGGTCACAGAAAGACATTCGTCTTTCACTGCATAGAAATATTTTGGTCTTCACAGAGAGGATATTCAGCAAAAGCAAGTTCTTTGTTGGCACAGCTTTGCGTCTGTTGGCACAACTCACAGCATCTCTACCAATTTATTTTGGGTAAATTTCTCACCTCTTTTTGTTTTATAAATATCACAATATTCATTGTAAAAAATCCAAATATTACATTCTGAATTTTTTCCAATATCGTTCAGCTCTATTTCCATATATTGCACACAAGATAGCAATACCAGCCTTCGTACTTGATCAAATGCGATCGAAAAGAAAATCAGGGATATTGCCCATAGCTACACCATGCCAGACTCGCACATGTCAATCCCTTAGCAAAATGTGTGTGCAGCTAGTTAAATATATAATAAGTAACTAATGTGTCGAACGTAATTTGAGTAAGCTATGTTTAAACTGATATTTAAAAATTGATTTTTAACTCTCTCTTCTTGAACTGGATTTTTTGCCTAATCCATTTATGTTAGACTGTCTGTAACAGAAGTGGCCCACCTTACTATTAAATAAATTTACTTGGACCTTACGCCAAAAAGTTTGCCCACCTCTGCTCAATCTGTTTGGGTCGAATCGTTTGCTCAAACATATGGCAGCAGAGCCCTGAACTGAGCAACCTTGTGGCTTCCACGCCAGTCTCACCGTGACACGGCCAGGCTCTCCTTGCCCCGGCGATGTGGCAGCACTGCGGCGACGCTGGCCCTCTGGGATCCGGGGCCTCACGAAAATCACATAGGGCCTAAACTCTGGCATGCGCAGAATCTTCAAAGCCTAAGAGACAGAGATCAGGACTGCGATTGGTGGGGTTCTGGAGATGTTCACTAAGGTTTTCACAGTTTGCTATTGAAATGTATTATTTATATTATCATTAGTCTTAGTCTTAGTGTCGGTGGTGGCTGAGTGTGGTACTGCAGCCTCATAGCTCATTCCCACCCTCCGTCTATATGTCTATGTGTCCGAGTTTGCAAGCTTCCTCTGGTATCCTTCCATAGTCCAAAGCCATGCACTTTGGCCAATGTAGCTGGGAGTCTCTAAATTGCCCATGGTGTGTACCCTGTGACGGGTTGGTGCCCTGGCGGGTTATTCTCTGCCTTGTGCCTATAGCTTCCAGGATAGGCTCCAGAACGCAGTGACCCTCCTTAGGACAAGCAGTATAGAAAATGGATGGATGGGGGGAAAATGAATGGATTAGCCTCAGAGGCGCATTGCCTTTGTGACTGCCATAGCCGTCTGCACAGACTTGATCTGTATTATAGGATGAGGACAATTTTGCTCCCGATATGGATGCGAGCGTACCCACTCCCTCCTTCCAAAAATTATACCGATGTACTCAGCACAGGCACCTCCCACCTAGAAAGACATGGCCCAAGCCCTCCACTGTGAGTGCCTGGATGACTCAGCCCAGCAACATGGGTGGATTTATGCTGCAGGAATAAATAATACTCAAGGTTGTGGCTCTGTATCTCAGTATGCACACACATGTCACAAAGTACTATTGAGTGCGAGGGAAAAGCCAATGATGATGCTAAATGTTTCAGTGTCACCAACACTCAAAAGGGGGCAAAGGGAAGTAACATTTGCTAGCTCTCTTTAGCAGCACAGTAAGGGACCAGTCATCAGACAGGCCATTTGTGTTATGGTGGTGACTCATCTAGGTCATGAGGAAGGATGTGAAACTGAATCAAAAAGTCATAACACCAAGCTGCTCTGCATCCTCAGTGGGATAAGGTACGTTTTACAAAAACATGGATTAACAAAAAAAAAAAAATGTCATTAGTCAATGGAGATGATCAACCAAATAAAATTAATGACATTAAAGTTTTTAGGTGAGTTACACTTACCTCTGGCTGTACATCCACCAAACAGAGCTTATTCCTGGCCAGTACACTGCGAATCGCCTCCATACTTGTGCCATATAGGTTTTCCTTGTATTCGCCATGCTCAATAAATCTAGGCAGAACAATGTAGCCCCAGAACTGTGATGCAGGACAGACGTTTCACAGCACAACAGAACTGGATCCACTAACATACAATGTAATGTCATCAGAAGTTAGAGAATTCATAGATTAGTAAAGCCAGCTCACTTATTGCTCTGTACGTCTGCCTCGAAGGCCTGTTTAGAGACAAAGTGATACTCCACCCCTTCCTTCTCATGGCTTTTCTTAGGCCTGGTTGTGTCTGGGGAGAATATAAAAGCAAAAGCAGGATTAGAGGATTCCTTCACAGTGTTTTGCAAGTGGCTATTGTGTGTGTGTGTGTGTATGAACCACACCACAACCTTTTAATGGCTGCATAGATAGATTCATATATATTTTTTAACAATATTCTTTTGATAGCAAACTGACATAAATATTACCATAATGAAATCCACAGTCAAAACCAAATGCAACTTTTCCAGCATTGACTAAGTTTCTCTGTAAATGGATATGTGAATCAACCTCCAGTAATCAACCTTTATTACCATAATTTAAATGTGTAAAAACAATTCTAGACTGGTACATAAACCTTTTTTGTACTTTATAAATTTGAAAGTCATAATTCTTCCTGTTAAATGGGACTGTACTCAAAAGCTTTCATTTATTTTCTCATAAAGACTATGAGAACATTTGCACCTCCTGCTTTTGCCCTCAAATTGAGAGGATTTTCTAGGGAACAGTATGGGTACATTTTGATGGTGATGCAGCGATTTCCAGAAATGTCTTTTTTTTATAATTGCTATCCTCCTGCCAACTCGAGAGTGAACAAACGATGTAAAGCGAAGGACACACAGAGTAAACAGCCTCTGTCTCACTGTCACAGCCTTCACTGATTGGTACATATGGGCTTTGGTACAGATCCCACGATGCAGGCCCTGCGGTGTGGATCCCGCAGTGCAGGCAGATACTCACGCGGCACGGCCACTCCATAGCGCTGGGGGTTCTCCGCAACCACCTTCTGCTTCAGCTCATTGATCCGTGCGCCCAGGGAACCTGCAGGGGTTCACAGAGTCTGCTCCAGACCATCTGCTCTCAAACTGACCCAGTGTCTGAGCGTTACGCTGCTGTCAGAGGGAATTGACTATCTTTTGGTACCAAACAAGACAGCACTTTAACCTTAGCTTTAATGCCATCTTTCAGTAGCAGACCAACTCAAATCTTAGCCCAAAATACCACATTGTAGCAGGTAGGAAGAGCCTTGTGTATCAGTTCTGCGTGGCTGAATTCCAGACTGAGAACTCACAGAGTCATGAGTAGTAACAGAATAGGAAACCATAAATTTTTAATTTTCAAAGGCAAGTAGTTCTTGTTTGCATAGTTCATAATATGCACTCAGAGGCCACTTTATTAGGTACACCCATTCAGCTGCTAATTGAAGCAAATACCAAATCAGGCAATCTATAAAATCATGCAGATACAGATCAGGAGCATCAGTTAATGTTCACATTAAACACCAGAATGGGGGGGAATAAAGGTGATCTAACTGACTTTGAATGAGGCAGAGTTATTGTCTCCAGAAGGGCTTATATTTCAGAAACTGCTGGTCTACTGAGATTTTGACGTACAACCAGCTTTAGGATTTATAGAGAATCAGTTGAAAAAGAAAAAAATATCTAATGAGTAGCAGTTCTCTGCGTGAAAATGCCTTGTTGATGGCAGAGATCAGAGAATAATGGCCAGCCTGGTTTAAGCAGATAGAAAGGCAACAGCAACTCAACTCAAAACGTTTTTCATATAAAAATAACAAACAATGTGACAGACATGAGATCAATTTAAGGTGAAATTGTTTATAAGCAGATAAAACAAAATAGCACTGCTAGTGATGTCTGAACCCTTTCCATTGCTGCTTATATCCACATTAGATCAGCAAAGTGTGCAGAATGGAGGGAATTCGTCTTTCCTACTCTTCAAAATGATCATGTTCTGATTTTGAATGAGAGCGTCCAATGCCAATAATAATAATAATGTGAGAATCAATGCTGAAATTTGGGGTGTTTCTCAATACCAAGAACACAAAGATCGTACTTGTGGTCTTGGCAAGACCAGTCTTGGTAACTTGCCTCCCAAGAACGAACTTAGGGTGCAATGAATCATGGGATTGGTCTAGTTCGGTGAGGATGCAACTGATGTATCCTTGATATTTGGGACAGGGTAAGAACAACATTTGGGGATTTTTACCATTCACTGTACTTCTGTTCTTAATATTGGAACTGGTCTTCGGCAATGGAAGATGACATAAAACGGGTACATGAGAACACAAGTACAGTCAAGTATGCATATTGAGAAACAATCACTGATTCTGTTTATCCAAACTCTAATGTAAAAGTAACAGTTTTTACCTGGCAATTTAAATGTTCATATTATTACAGGGAGCAGAACATGAACTACTACTGGGCAGGACTGCCCATGGGAGGGGTGAAAGAGGAAGGGGTTCATGGAGCCATCGATCCGCCGGCACCCAAACCCACCCCCAGCAAAAATTGTTATTGTTAGTGTAATGTAATTCTTAGGGTTAGGCCTGCATTAAATGTCAAGGTGGAGATAGTTAGCAGATACCCGTGTGTCCATCTCACCAATGAGCACCACCAGACGGGGCCTGTCACCATGACGCCGCTGGTCCCGCATCACCTCTTCATAGGTCAGGAACTCCGGCTCGGCAGACTCTGGGGGGCGGGATTCTCCATGGCGGTCCTTGCGGCTCAGACGGAAGCTTCTCCTAAGGCCAGCTTAAGGACAGAAAACAGTTGCCGACACATGATGAACTAAAGGCTATATGATATACGATATACTGTATAGAGAGAGGTTTACAGAGATCATTGTGATTTATAACTAGACAAAAATGTACTGGACTGCTATTTACTTTTTTTAAATTTTTTAAATAACTCTATGCTGAAGCAGAACTTACTGGATTAAAAAATTATTAATAAAAACCAGTAATATGTTGTGCAACTGATTAACAAATATAAACAATTTGACCAATTCTCATATGAAACACATTGAAATGTGAGAAAAACCTAGGAAATAAACTGAAAACCGGTATTTTCTACAGCCACGAGAGTCTGGAAAACACTCTGGTGGTGCTGGAGAAGGTGAATGACAGTACCTGTGTAAAACTCCCAGGAAAGAGCTTCTCTACAGGAACGTGGGACTCTTTTACACTTTGGAGAAACTGTAACTATCATTAGAGCATCACACAGCTAGGAGTACGCCTCTAAATGGAAAAGGGGCAGGCATGCTGGATGGACCGTGCAACAGGCCTGAGGCAGGGGCCCCTGGGGGCTCTTGGCAGAGGCAGAAGCTCCCAGAGACACAAGCAGAGTGGTCATGGATGGTCAGAAGAGAGCTGGCAGTGGTACAGGTGTGGGCGAGGCTCTTTGGGCTGTAGACATATTGTCAAAACTCACCTCTCATACAAGTGATTTAGGGAAACAGTTGCAACCCTGCTGGTGTCTTTTTTCCATGCCTTTTTAGGGAGATCTGCAGCATTCCTCTATCAAAATAAGCTTAATATGAAGCCTCCCATTGAAACAGAGCTCAGTGGATTTAATGCGGGTTCGCCTTATAAATCCACAATTACATATGTTATGCTGATGCTGATAAATTTACTCCCCACCATGACTGGATTTCCAGTGTCAAGTGCAATGTTGCAAATGTGCTGTAAGCATCAGAGTAGTGCCCGTCAGATGTCTGAATTGTGGCCAAAAGCAGGCAAGCGTCTGCATGAATCCCAGCAGTATTCAGCTCATGTTATTGTTACATCATGTGAACAGTCCCCAGGGCTATGTCTCAGACATCTTGGTGGCATAAAAAGGATTTTGATTGGTCAGAAAGGAGGAGCAAGGTGGACATTATGCCCCTGTTTTGAATGGCAGTGAAAAAGACCATTTTTTTTGATAAAACAGTTTTTTAGTTTGGAAATTAAGGTGCAATACTGCCAAATGTTACGGAAGTGACAATAAGTGACACATTCATTCCACTGTATAATAATTTCTGCTTCTCTAATTAAAAATTAATGACAGTAACGCAATTATTGCTTTTGGCATAAAACATGTATTTTTCATGAGCCAGGTAAAAACATTGTTACAGACAGTGAATTCTGCCTTCGACTTTTAGTCTGAGTCAAATTACCTTATATAGTTAGTGCTGGGGTATGTTGTACTGATATACTACATACTGTACATGCCAAATCCCCCCAGCTGCAGACATCACCCCCCTCAACTATTTACAATTCCCCCATAAAGCAGCCTGTTTGTGCCATTACAGCTGTGATCTGCATGTGAACTGAGACGATACGCATGATGCATGCTCTCACCTATGTACTGTCCATTGAAATAGCCCTCACAGTCACAGTCCTCTGCAGGAAGGCAAGGGAGGGGGGACAGGGGGAGAGCAGAGGGTAAGAAACCACAAGGACACGCCGAAGCATTGGGAGACGAGAGTGGAGGGCCACCGACTCTGGGAATACTATGGGAAGAGGAGCAGGAGAAGAGCAGGGGCCTGAGACACAGCTGGGGGCATGGAGGGGGGCTCAAGGACCGGGAGGCAAGCACAATGAGATCCGCTGCAGCCTGTATCAACAGAGGTGGGACTCTCATAGCAGATTAACTCAAGCTGCAATCTGAGGAAATACTGTACAGCCTCAGCATCAAGAGGGGAAGTGTGAGTGTCAGTCGCCTGGACAATGTCAAGGAGCCTGCGACAGGTCTGACAATTCGGGGTGTGACAATTCCTGCTCAATTCACCTCATCACCAACCCTCAGTCATGTGTTTTAGTTTTGCACTTCTATGCATTTATAGCATTTTTCAATACGTATAAAGCCAGATGCACTCAGCAAATTAATTATTAAAACGTTAGCTAGTAGTTTAACTTCATTTTTCTGATTGCTAAATGCTATTTTTAAGGCTAATTACATCACTGAAAACAATTGACTAAAAGCAAGTTTCACAATAACTTGACAAAAGAAAAGTCAAAAGACAAAATGATGAAATAAGAAGAAGATGGGAAGAAAAAAGGCAGCCAAGGACATAGTGATACAGATTATAAAGGAGCAAGGATAAAATATGCAAAATGCCATAAAGCATGAAGAAAGAAAAGACTATCGTAATAACGGGAGGTGTCTAAGGACAGTGACATGAGACCTTAACTGCCAGGTTTTCTGACATTCACTTCCCCACCCGGAACGTGCAGGAGGGGACGGGCATATCTATTCCAGTCTTGTTCCCAGACAGCCGGAGGGATTACAAACCATGGCTGTGCCGAATCCCCCAGGGGCCAATGTGGGCCTGGCTGAGAGAGGCTTGCAAAGCTAGCAAACTCAGTGCCAAACAAGAGAGAGGAGCGGAAAAAAAAGAATCTCTGATGTCACACTTAGTGATCAATTACCTTCTTTGTTAGAATTATGTTAATGAGCCAGATATTGCATTGCGAGATCCAGGAGAATTATGCCTATGCTGTGCATTTTAACACTGAACATGAATGAGAAACAATGGCATGACTGGTGGATGACACACCTACCTTTGTCACAAGCTTGGTCGTCTGAGGTTGGCGGTAAGGGAGCAGTACAAAAAGTGAGGAGAAACACGTCACTCACACTCACACCTAACAGACAAGGCCTGTGCACAAAGCGCCCTCTAGCTTTACCCAGTGCTGGCCTGCCAAGTCGCAGGTGCAGACCGCTCATGATCTCATCTGGCCACTCTCACGAGGTCAGTCACTACCGAGTCAGTACCATTGCTCTGAGTAATCAACATAATATAGCGCAGGGAATCTGTCCTTCTATGATGTCACAGGTTTAAGTCACAAGCCAGTTGCTCTGCCTCACAAAAAAGGCCAGAATGGGGATTAATTATTCTGGAGGGAAATGGCTGAGCCCCAGCTTTGGGATAAATCCAGCAGATTGTCAAACACTTGCTTCCCCCCAAAGACCTCGTTTTATCAGATTAATGCGAGATTAAATGATTTACTGTGGTCACTGTGACCCCAAGGCCGCAGCTAGCCTCTCTGCTTACATTCCGGCAGTCTGTCCTTTTCATTGGCCAGTGACAGTCTGGTCTGCTTGGCTGTTATGCTCTTTCGCCCTCTTTACACCTGCGCGTCACACCTCCAATATACTGTTCAGTTTATATCTCTGTTTCTTATCTCTATTCTAACACACCTACTGTGTGTGAGCAGGTGTTTATGAAAGCTTATATAGATTATATACACATATGTACATAAAAACTTATTGCCAAAAGTATTGGGATACCTGTCCAAATAATTGAATTCAGGTGTTCTAATTATTTCCATAGCCACAGGTATATAACATGAAGCACCTAGGCATGCAGACTGCTTCTACAAACATTTGCAAAAGAATGGGTCACTCTCAGGAGCTCATTAAATTCAAGCGTGGTACTGTGATAGTATGCCACAGGTGCAAAAAGTCCATTTGTGGAATTTCCTCGCTACTAAATACTTCATGGTCAACTGTTAGTGGTGTTATAACAAAGTGGAAGCAATTGGGAACAACAGAAACTCACAGAGTGGGGACAATGCATGCTGAAGCACACAATGTGCTGTACAGTAGTTGCCAACTGTCTGCAGAGTCAATAGCTACAGACCTCCAAACTTTGCGTGGCCTTCAGATTAGCTCAAAAACACTGCGTAGAGAACTTCATGGAATGGGTTTCTGTGGCTGAGTAGCTGCATCCAAGCCTTATATCACCAAGTGCAATGCAAAGCGTCAGATGCAGTGGTGTAAAGGACCCTGGCACTGGACTCTAGAGCAGTGGAGACATGTGTTCTCTGGAGTGACAAATCACACTTCTCTGTCTGGCAATCCGATGGATGAGTCTGGTTTTGGTGGCTGCCAGGAGAACAGTACTCTCCTGACTGCATTGTGCCAAGTGTAAAGTTTGGTGTAGGGGGATTATGGTGTGGGGTTATTTTTCAGAGGTTGGGTTGGCCACTTAGTTCCAGTGAAAGGATCTCTTAATGCTTCACCATACCAAGACATTTTGCTTCCAAATTTGTGGGAACAGTTTTGGGAAGGCCCTTTTCTGTTCCAGGATATCTGTACCTAGGGTTGCAAGATTCTGGGAACTTTCCCGTTAATTCCCATACATTCCTGTTAATTCCCCTGGAAAGTTTCCAACTTGGAATATTTCCAAAATTCCCCAGCTTAACTTCCCATGGAATGGAAAGTTTCTAGAAATTTTCCACCTCTTCACAACCCTATCTGTACCCCAGTGCAAAAGCAAGGCCCATAAAGACATGGATGATTGAGTCTGGTGTGGAGGAACTTGACTGGCCTGCACAGAGCTCTGACTTCAACCCAATAGAACAACTTTAGGATGAATTAGAGCAGAGACTGTGAGCCAGGCCTTCTCGTCAGTCTCTGACCTCACAAATACTCTCCTGGAAGAATGGTCAAAGAATTCCCATAAACACACTCCTAAACCTTGTGGACAGCCTTCCCAGAAGAGTTGAAGCTGTTATAGCTGCAAAGGATGGGCCAACTCCACATTAAAGCATATGTATTAAGAATGGGATGTCATTAAAGTTCATACTGTATGTGAGTAAAGGCAGGTGTCCCAATACTTTTGGAAATATAGTGTGCATTCATATATAAATACATACAGTGCCTTGCAAAAGTATTCACCCCCCTTGGCATTTCTCATGTTTTGTTGCCTCACAACCTGGAATTAAAATGGATTGTTTGACAGTTTGCACCATTTCATTTACAGAACATGCCTACAGCTTTGAAGATGTATTTCTTTTTTCATTGTGAAGCAAACAACGAATAGGACAAAAATAACAGAAAACTTCAGCGTGCATAACTGTTCACCTCCCCTAAAGTCAGTACTTCATAGAGCCACCTTCTGCGGCAATTACAGCTGCAAGTCGCTTTGGATGAGTCTCTATGAGCTTGCCACATTTTGCCACTGGGATTTTTGCCCAATCCTCAAGCCAAAACTGCTCCAGCTCCTTCATGTTGGATGATTTTCGCTTGTGAACAGCAATCTTCAAGTAAATAAATGTTTCCCCTTAAACCACTCGAGTGTTGCTTTAGCAGTATGCTTCGGGTCATTGTCCTGCTGGAAGGTGAACCTCCGTCCCAGTCTCAAATCACAGGCAGACTGACACAGGTTTTGCTCAAGAATATCCCTGTATTTACAGTAGCACCATCCATCTTTCCCTCGACTGGGACCAGTTTCCCAGTCCCTGCTGCTGAAAAACATCCCCACAGCATGATGCTCCCATCTCCATGTTTCACTATGGCGATGGTGTTCTGGGGGTGATGGGCTGTGTTAGTTTTGTGCCACACGTGGCATTTTCCTTGGTGGCTGAAAAGTTCAATTTTAGTCTCATCTGACCAGAGCACCTTCCTCCATACATTTGGGGAGTCGCCCACATGCCTTTTGGCAAACTCAAAACGTGCCTTCTTATTTTTAACGTTAAGTAATGGCTTTTTTCTGGCCACTCTTCCATAAAGCCCAGCTCTATGGAGTGTACTGCTTATTGTGGTCCTATGGACAGATACTCCAGTCTCTGCTGTGGAACTCTGCAACTCCTTCAGGGTTACCTATGGTCTCTGTGCTGCCTCTCTGATTAATGCCCTCCTTGTCCAGTCTGTGAGTTTTGGTGGGTGGCCCTCTCTTGGCAGGTTTGTTGTGGTACCATGTCCATTTGAAGATGATGGATTTAATGGTGCTCCGGGGGATCATCAAAGATTTGGATATTGTTTTATAACCCAACCCTGACTTGTACTTCACTATAACTTTGTCCCTGACTTGTTTGGAGAGCTCCTTGGTCTTCATGGTGTGATGCCTCCTGCTTAGTGGTGTTGCAGCCTCTGGGGCCTTTCAGAAAAGGTGTGTTTATACTGACAGATCATGTGACACTTAGATTGCACACGGGTGGACTTCATTTCACTAATTATGTGACTTTTGAAGGTAATTGGTTGCACCAGGACTTTGTAGGGGCTTCATGGCAAAGGGGGTGAATACATACGCACATGCAAATTTTCAGTTTTTTATTTATTTTTATTCTTTTTTATATATATTTTTCTCATTTCACGTCACCAACTTAGACTATTTTGTGCAGATCCATCACATGAAATAAGATTAAGATACATTTTAATTCCAGGTTGTGAGGCAACAAAACATGAATAATGCCAAGGGGGATGAATACTTTTGCAAGGCACTGTACATACATGCAGAAATATTGGAAGAACATATTAAGGCAAAAGACTTACAAACTGGTGGTTTGGATGCTTTGGGATTCTGTAGGGTCCCGGTTTTCATCCTGTAAGCCAATCGCCTGAGAAGGCAGCATCCAATGTGTAACTATTAAAGTGCAGCCGCTTCATGACGTGAAAATACAGTTTCACAAAGGCAATGAAATATCAGTGACTACAGGGAGGAGCTCCTGGCACAGTAATGCAGAACACCAAAATTAATTTTCTTACAGAAACACTCAAATTGCATGGGCAATTGACATCATAATGCACAGAAATATACACATGCCAAATGGTACCTTACAGAGACAGAGCAGGCCAGGAAGGCCTTCCTACCTCTCCTGGAACTGTCTGGAGGGGATAAGGCCTGCACGCAGATTGCTGTCACCCACCCGCTTGGCCTGCCACCACGTGGCATCATCCTGGCTCACCACATGCAGAATGTCGCCACGCTGGAAAGGAAGTCCCGCCTCCTGACAGGGCGTGGCCTTGTCCTCAGAGGGCACATAGTCAAACAGGGCCCTCATGTATACCTGAGAAATAACACACAGAGATAATGATGGCATAGCGAGGGCAACCACCTTCAGAGAAATGCATAATACATATTTATGACACCTAGTTTAAGACATGAAAGACACATAGAGCATAAGCTGATAGAAGGCAGCCATGTGTCTCCCATATTATCACAGACCTTGCTCTCCTTCAGCCTGTCCTCCTCCTTTATCGCTGGAATTATTTTGAGAGAGATAGAGCCTTGAGACTGTGACTGCAGCAGCAGGATGAGAAATCACACTGCTGTTAATTACCTATATTTCATCATTCTCAGAATTTATAACTAGTCAATATTTTGAATCTTAATTGCATTGGCTTTAAACTATACTGACAAATAAATTCAATTACGGATTACTTGTAATCATTGTAATCCATGCTGTCAGACCATTTGCACATGTTTGTATGCATTTTTAAAGGACTATGTCTGGGGGATACTGTTAGGTTTGGCCACACAAAATGAGAAAGAACGGAAAGAAGGAAGGAAGGCCATACCAGAATTTGACTGATTTCATCGGGTCTCTTGTGGATGACGAGAATGCCATTTACTTCTCGCAGCTCATCTCCTACATGCACGAGGCCTGCCGAGAAACATATGCTCATTTGCCAAAGCAAATGAGAAGGTTGGGCCTGCTTTCTTGGCTGCAGCAAATAACCACCCACTTACAGGATTACTGGGCCTGTTCGGGAAGTTAAATTAAAGCCATCAATCGGACCGTCTACCAACTGCTCAGATGTCACAATACTGTGATCAAATTACTGTGGTAACGTATTTGAACTGCTTTACTGCGCGACACCAATTTCCCTAGACTGGGGATCTTATGAAAATCAATTGGTGAGTCTGAGCAAACAATAGAGCATGAGCTTTAATCTATGTTCATAACACTGCGCTAGAAGTAATATCTCAAGATCTGGGACAGCAAATAGAGTGCATCTCATAACTGGGACAAATCTGCATGTAAATAGACACAAAGCGATGCCATGTGACTTCTCGTCACCATGTGTAGCTCAATGATTGTGAATGCATTTTTACGAGTACTTTAAAGGAATACCCTCATGGAGAATCTCAAACATGCACACATAAATTAAAATCCCCTCTAAACAGATAGCATTTCCATGGTAACCACAGGGGCTAAATAGCTCTCCAGTCTCCTGAAATACACATTATGAAATGTTACAACTACAATGACTGAGGGATATCATGTCATTTGAATGGTTCATTTCAATGGGAGTCACATTTTACTACTGTATCTCTTATACCTCGTTTCCACCAACACGGAGCTGGTGCTGGTGCCGGTGATGGGCTGATTTTCGCTTGGTGCCTTTTGAGAACCAGCCTGCGTTTCCACCAGTTCAAAAAAGAATGGAACAGAAATGTTATGAAGGTGGAAATGAAAGCAAAGTAAAGGTTGATCTGTGTTTCGTTTTTTGGATTTATTTTGCAGAACTAAAAACAAGTTTCCAGAGTATGACTCGTTGCACCCTGTCTCTATTGCCTGTATCCACTTTTGTCTGCATAAAGGCTCCCCGTTTGCTAAAAACTGAACTTTGTAATATTTGAAAATATTTTATTAATTCGACCTGCGACATAATTCTACTTCATTATTAAATCTGGCCAGCAGATCGATCTTTAGTTTTTCTCAGAGAAAAACGATTCCGCTAACAAGCTGGCAAATTGTTTCACTGCGGCACCAGCATTATTAGACTAACTATATCAGTTACAGATTGAATTTTCTAGGTATATGGAAGGTTTGGATGCAAATTCCTGTCCCACTTTTGCTTACATCACGATGCCAAATTCTTAGCCCAGCTTTTCTGTGGTGCCATGCTGGAGTCGTTTTTTCTGTCCCAGGGTCATTTTTTTTGCTGTGGAAATGCGTGGAACCAGTGCCGGATTGGGACAAAGTCTGGCACCAGTACCGGCACTGTGTTGGTGGAAACGAGGCATTAGTGTTGGCTGAAGAATTATTATTCAACATATTACTATAAAAATCTGTTTTTCCATGAAGTGTTTAGTGTAGGGCTACTAGAATATCTTAATTTAAAGGCCTTTATGTGCAGTTTATGATTAGGATACCATGTCATGTATTTTTACACACATGAACAGTTTGCCCATTTCACCTTTAGTAGTTTCTGTTAGTTTGTCATAGTTTGTAAAGAAGCTTTCTAGTCACACACTGCAGGAGCTGGAATGAAACAGGCTACTTACCACTACGGTCTGCAGCCCCACCCCTCATAATTCGGGCCACTACGATCGCACCAGTGGCCTCATCTCGACGGATGGTTGCCCCCTAGGAAAAGAGAGATTCTGCTTCTGTAATGTTAGCTAGTTAGGCTGATTGTCTTCTCTATCTGCTACTACTGTATGATGTGTGCATGTATGTGCCCTGATAAGGATTGGCCTCCCATCCAGGGTATACCCCAGCCTTGCGCCCTGCTGTTCCCAATGATAGGCCCCTATGTGACCCTAACTAGGATTAGGTTAAAAGGTGGACAAATATCTAAACCTGGATTAGTTATGTAAGTTACATGGTGTAACACATAGGACAGACCTGTGCTGTTAAAATACAAAGGTGCTGTTCTGGAGATGTGAGCATTTTGCAGGCCCTGCTGGCAAGAATGAATGAAACACCAACCAGCGGCTCCTTGTTCTTAACCAGGCGCACAATCTTTACTGACTCCTCCTCCAGCCCATCATCCAGGTCGTCGGGCAGTGGCGGCAGCACAGGGTCGAAGCTCTTCTGGGCAACTGTGTCGTGCACTGTGAGGACAGCCTAATGGACATGAAGAACAAAAAGATGAGAAAATACAACAGAGGCAAATGTCAGGGCAAAGACATTTCAATAAATAGGGAAGTGAGTGGTGCAGTTACTACATTTAATATGCTGTTATATATGTCCATAAAAATGAAATAGATCTGCAAAATTGTTCTGAGTGGGAAAGCCTTTCCTAATTACAGAACTGAAAAGAATCAAAGACATTTACAGACAGACAAAAAAGCTAAAAACGTGTTTGTCAGAGACATTCATTTAATCTTTTAGTTTCACTGAAAGGCTCTGTGAGCCCATTATCTGCTCATCATCATTAGCATTATGAGCAGCAGAGTTGATGGTGACGGTCAGCATGTTAGCAGGCACCTTAAGGTGTGGAGCTGTCAGCAGCTGCAGAAGCTCCTTCTCGTCGTTGCTCATTGGCCCGCTCTGCAACTCCTCGGCTACCTGTCAACCAATCATCTCTGCTGGGAATCTGTGGCCACACCCACTCAGAATCCAGCAAATATTTTACCAAACATCAATACCACTTATCTTCTGTTTATAGGCCCAAGAATTTGGAATGTGTGGCTGTGTGTGATTTGCACCTGTTATTATTACTACTAACAAATTTAACTTGAGAAAAAAATCTCAAAAATATTTGTGTAGGAAAACTTTACTTTATGAAGCTGGAATTTTTTCATCTTTTACACACCAAAAAAAAAAAAAACCCATTAATCTATTTGCAAAATTATTATATATATATATACACATACACACACACATACATATACACACACACACACACACACACACATACATACATATATATACACACACACACACACACGAATATAATAAATATAGATTATAATTATCATTTTTCGACTGTTTCCACTCTGTTGCCATAAATCAGTATATGGTAGTTTATAGCAGTACTATATGTATATATGTGGTACAGACAGATTTTGCTAACAATAGCCTAAAATTTAAAAAATGAGTCTCAAATTTCTTAGTTCAAACACAGTATATAAAAATATTTCCTTGTGTTTTAAGAATGGAAATGTAATGTATTTTTGAGTATTTATTGAGTAAGCCCAGAGTAAGCGGATATAAATTTATATGCCCTTTTTTTATATACATATACGGCAGCAGATGAAGACCCTTTCAGCTGCCTGCACGCTGACTTGGCCCACAGCCCAGCACGTTTCCTTCTGTCACATCAATGCAGATCATGGAGGCCTTTTTGGATGAGTGTTCTCATCATTGGCTGCTCCCAGTGAACTTCCATTGTCTGACAGCTTTAAATCACCTTTCCAATGGCCACTTTACCACTGCAGTAGGTGCCTCTATGAATTAGACAGTAAGGTGTGAAATAGCTGAGATATTCACAGGCATGACTGATAAGAATATGTTCTAATTGGGGTTCAGGCATTGCACTGGTTTTGGATTTATGGAATTTATTTCACAGAAGTTCTGCTGGCAAAGTAACATGTAGAGTAGCACATTGTAACATACATCATTAAGGTTCCAAGGCTTACCGAGGACTGGGGCGCTTGGAACCTATGGCAGGCAGAATAGGGCACAGGGCTGGGGCACACCCTGGATGAGATGCAAGTCTCTCAGGGCACATGGTAGAGATACGCCCTGCATGACATACCAGGGTATCACAGGGCACAAGGCTGGGCTACACCCTGCATGGGATGCCATTCTCCATTTCATACATATCTCCTATAGGTAAGTTCAAGGCGCCAGGAAGCCTAACAAAGGCAGCTGCATGAGAACCACAGTGCATGGGGAGAACAGTGACAGGAGTGAAAGCAGGATTAAGTGTGAGGTGACAGTATTACCCAAGCAGCCTCCACAGCCATGCCTTGAGCCCTGTGCTGTCTGAAAGTCAGAGGTGGACATTTCAGGTCCAGAAATTAAAAATCCAGATCAAGATTTTGTTTCAACCAACCCATTGAGTATAAAGAGTCACAGTCACAGAATTTGACTGGTCTACAGTTTCCCATGCCACTGAGCAGGATAAGCAGATAGAAGATGGATGGACGTACAAAATTTTGATTTCACTGTACTTACATCTTCTGCCAGAGAGGAGGCACTGTGGAGAACAGGAGTGGGACTGAGGTGCTCATACTGTCGCAGCTTCTCATGTATCTGAAAGACAGCCATTTTGTCTGTAAGCATGTCGCCCAGTATCATAGTCTAATCTATTGGCATTTATTTAAATAATAGAATATATTTAGCAAAAAGGGGAAAGAGAAAACAAAGCAGCATATATAATCAGAAAGCACAATTTAGGAAGGATATTTTAAATCTTAACTGATGTTTATTGATCCCCATGGGGAAATTCTCTTTACTCCTCTCCCATTTCACTCTCTATAGACGAGAGCAGGTTGCCTGAAAATGGCAGCCACTCAATGCAGCATCCAGGGAACTGGGGGTTAAGGGCCTTGCTGAAAGACCTGCAGATGTGCTGCAGCTGGCCTCAAACTGGTGACTTTCTGATCACAACCACAGAGGCTTAGCCCACTGAGCCATATGCTGCCCCACTGGACTGAAAAGATTTACCATCATTCATTTTAAGCTCAATTTTGTTAACTGTTCATTACAGAAAAAAGAAAAAAAATATATATATTTTTAAATGAACTGATGTGTAAATATATGGAAACAAGAGTCTCCGGCCTGGGGAAATGCAGTGAGGAAAAATGCAGGATGCAAAGTGTCCTGCCTTCATGAGGTAAGCGAGGCTCTTCTCACTGAAGACATCCCTCAGGAAGACCATGTCCTCCGTGTGCTTGGCATCTGGGCAGAGCTGGGCAGTCAGCAGGGCCAGCGTCTCATGGAGTCCTGGGTTTGAGTACACAGAATTAACCATGTTTTTGATTAATTGCACACTAATTACATGTCATTCTCCTCTGAAAGAAAATCCAGATTTTTTAAATATTTTAAGATCGATTGCACTGGTATTATTTAATATCAGCTAAGTTGGATCTTACAATTTTGGAGGAAATAGATAAGCTACCATATGCATTTCTCCACATTTAAATTTATACACAAGAAATGCACTGTAAAATGTTTGCTTTTAGATGCTCTTCTGTAGGTAAAAGACACTGAAAACACTTTTGAGAAATTAATGTAAGGTATATCGCCCTGAAAACAATTTTCCATTTAAGTACATTTAATCTCTCACAGGTAATTAGCCACAAGAACAATGATTGCCATATACACTCACCTAATGAATTATTAGGAACACCATACTAATATGGTGTTTGACCCCCTTTCGTCCACAGGACTGCCGCATACTGGATGTTTTTCC